TTCACAGTTAGCTTTCTTAGGAAACTTGATGTTCTGCAGCCTATATTTGTCAAGCCCGAGAACAAGGAAAACACAAGCGAAATTATATTTAAACTTCCTAACCCGGTGAATCCTGCTTCAACATCACGTAGTCGCACTAAATATATATTTGAAATCGATCTAAGTGGCTTCAACATCAAATAACTTTATATTTTTTAAAGCCAAGAAGRCAACTAAAGTACCATAAAATATGCTTTTTGTTTATCTCTTTATATTTAATAAAAAAAGCCAAGGAGGCAACGCTTTTAACTACAGTACCATAAAATATGCTTTTTGTTTACCCCTTTATATTTAATAAAACGTAAAAAGATTAAAAAAGGGCTTTTTATTTAATAACTAAATCTCCCCATATGAACGACGAAGGATCCCCAGCAATTGCCGGAGCTACCCCGCCCCGGGGTACATTCAGCAGATTTGACTCTTTTCAATTAACCTTAAATAAATTTGTCTCCGCTACAATTTCAAGAAAAGTTTCACCAACATCTTCTTTTTAAATAATGTGAGACTCGTTTAAGATTATTTAAGTTTCGATTCGTTGGATATTTTCTGAGATATCCAGATTCAAAAAAAAAGTGCCGAAGGTACCCCGGTCTCCCCTACATGAATTCATAAAAATTCGCAAAATGATATTCATATCAATAGATATGATAGCATGTTAGCGTATAAAAATATAAGCCAAAAAGCCAACATACGTTTGTAATAGCAGTGTATACTTCTGAGCATAATTTTCGTTGAATTATCTGCTCTGTTCACTCATTTCTGTTAAAGTTTCTCCCGCTGAGCCAAAAGTGGTGAAATCCACTAATAGAAAATTCATGGCTCTTGACAGTTCACACGCTTGTTCGTAGTTCGACCTTCTCTATAAATGTACGTTCTCTGGTTGAACGATTGATAAATCAACTTATACCAGATGAAAAAGCATGTTTATTCAATTTAGCAATTGGCAAAAGATCTTCAACCGAAAGAAGCTGTTTTATCAAACGCAATTCTGAGAAACTGCATTAGCAGCATCAAATGGTTCTGCAAAATATATAATATATATATATGTATATACATATATAATTTATACACTGACCTACATATAAATTTGGCTCAGAGAAGTATTGACCCGATTCCAACCATTTTGGATACACAGAATAACTACTGCAGGAAAATGATTCTGTCGGAATTTCTATTGCATATCTCACACATTACTGATATTTTCGAACAAAAGTCAACTATATGTACTGGAGTCCACATATTCGGTACCTAGGGTCTTGAACATTTTTGGTTGGATTTGGAAAATTTTTGGTCATAAGGTGGCATACACTAAAGGTATTATTCGTGCAAAGTTTAATCCCATTATATTAATTGCTTACTGATTTGTGTATTGGAAAGTAAAAAATCAAGTGGAATTTGAAATTGTGCAATATGGGAAATAGGCGTGGCTATTGTCCGATGTCGCTCATTTTCAGAACCTGATATAGGAATATGAATATGAATGCCTCTAACTAAATCGAAATTGGTCAGTCGGGACCACAGATATGGGATTTCACCAAAAAGTAGGCGAATTTTTACTTCGCTCCCTATAAAGCCTTGTCATACTATCTAGGGAGCTCTGGCGTACTTAGTTATTGATTTATCGTGCCTTAAGTAGTTTTTAACAGTACCGTTATATGGGGAGTGAGCGGGGTTATCCTCCCATTTCATCCATTTTCACACTGTCTTATAAGATTTGTATTTAGCAAATTTGGTTGTTGTAGCTTAAGTGGTTTAGGAGATATGTTCATTAAACTTTTTAAAGGGCGCGCCCCGCCCATTTTTTTTTAATTTGACCAGAATTTGGTACAGAGGATCGCAGCAGCAAGGAACACCGTTTGGGTGAACAATACTATAATATCCTGTAATAACTGGTTGCAAGAGTATAAGGAGTTTATTTGATTAATACTATAACTTATAAACTACAGATCTTAGAAATATGTGGATTGGATATTTTTAAATTTTTCGTTTATGAAAATATCTTCGAAAATTGTTTTATTTCGAGAGAAGAAGTTTTGTCAGAAAAGATCTATTTATACCAATTCACTCTCAACACTATCATGTCCTCTTTATTGTAAAAATGCTTCTCTCGTCGTGAACAAAAAATTATAAATATCCAGCAGTTGTTAATTATGAAGATCTATTTATGCAAATTCACTTTCAACACTATCGTGTCCTCTTTATTGTAAAACTGCTTGTCTCGTCTTGAACAAAAAATTACAAATATCCAGCCGTTTTCCTTTGGTCTCAAAATTCTCAATATAATGAATTTCGACTTTCTGATTATAATATATCGTACATGTTTTTTGGTCATTGGTCAATGGACCCAGACCTTGATTACTAATACTATTTAATAATTTCAGCCCCATCGGTTAGCTTTCCCCTCATATGCCCAATAATTACTCAGGTTATTTTGTTATAAAAAGGTGGGTTCCAAAGTAAACAAGACTTAAAAAAACGGAACAAATGGTTTTTTCAGCAAAATCAATTTATTTTATTTAAAATAGTCTTCTTCTGCTTCAATAAAGCTTTTTGCACGGTCCAAAAGCATGTCAAACTAGTKTTTTAGATCATTGGCCGGTATGGGCGCCAGTATGCCGGTGCAAGTCTTTTAAATGGCCTCTAAGTCTGCATAACGCTTTCCTTTCATAGGCAAAATAGCACTGTGCCATATCAAGTGAATACGAGGAGTGGTTAATGGTTAAAATGTGATTTTTGGTCAAATAATCGGTCACAAGCGGCGATCGAATGTTGGATTCTGTGCAACTTTCGGTCATCAGTCAATTTGTGCGGCACAACCCGTGCAACACCATTCGTAAACCTAAATGTTCGGTAAAAATGCGATAAATCGATGTTTTGGAGATGTTCAATTCCATTTCCATGAATTTCAATGATGGTTTCGGCAGATTTTTTGATGAATTCACGAACAGTTTCGATGGAATTTCCGGATTTTAATTGGCCCATATTTTGATCGTCGATTATGTCCTTATGACCACTTCGAAAACGTTGAAACCACGCGTGCACTCTGCTACGGGATAAGCAATCATCTCCATAAACTTGTTTCATCATTTGAAACGTTTCGGTAAAAGTTTTACCATTTTTAAAACAAAATTTAATGTTGTCTCTTTGTTCGCACCGAGAACACAAATATGTATACTGACACTTAAAACGCAATAACTTCACTTCCAATGAATGAAATGTCATGAAATTCTCACTGGACAATCAAAAAAGGTAGGAGATTCTAACGCAACGGTCGGCATGTCTACCAGGGGGCGCTGTATTCAAAAAGTCCTGTTTACTTCTGAAAACTCCTTGTATTGCATCATCATTATAACATGCGGGAGTGAAAATAATATGACATTTCCTTCATAATATATGTATAAATATTAAAAGAACAATTAAATTTAACGCCCACCGATTCTCAATTTTTATACGCTGCTGATACCTGAATTTCATTAATTCATGCATTAATATATTTAATTAATTTGAATAATAACAATGGAAAAATATTAACAAATAACATCACAAAATAAATAAGCATTGCAGATAATATTCACTTTTTAATAATTAAAAATTGGTATGTACATATAGCAAATGTTTATTAATAGAATACTTTTTTCCATGGTACTTTTCTTATGCCATATAGCTGTGCCCATAGTAGTGGTTTATGCTAGCTAGTTACATATGAATGTATATATGTATGTATAACATTCAAATACATTACGATACAATTTTCTAATAAATGGGAATCGTCATACAGTAGCTTTTAAAAAAATTGCAAAAATCATAATGTTATAAACAATCATATTTGATGGGTCCCTAATCTTATCTGCTAGCATTAACTTTTCTGATCCTAACTCTAACTGTAGCTGTTGACGATTAATCAGTCGAACTCTTCTTTCGTATATGTGTGGTTAAAAACCCTTTTATCAGAGAATGTTAACATTTTCTACTTTATGTTATAAAATTGTTGGATACGGAGTGCATTTATGAATAAATACGCTCTCTAATTAAAATAAAATAAAACCTAATATACCCTTCACAGGTGCATTTCTTTTAATAACTATTTGTTCAGTTTGTATGGAAGCTATATGCTATAGTAATTCGATCTGAACAATTTTTTCAGAGATTATATTATTACCTTAAACAGTAATCGATGTCAAATTTCGTGAAGATACCACGTCAAATGCGAAAGCCCCTGATTCCGATCGTTCGGTATGTATGGAAACTACATATGTATATGCTATAGTGAGTTGATTTGAACAATTTTTTCGGAGACTACATTGTTGTCTTAAAATTTCTTCGGAGATTATATTGATGTCTTAAAAAATAATCTGCACCAAATTTCGTGAATATATCTTGTTAAATGTGAAAGCTTTCCATACAAGAAGTTGATTACGATTGTTCAGTTTGTTGGCAGCTATATGTGATAGTGGTCCGATATCGGCAGTTCAGACAAATGAGTAGCTTAAAAAGAAAAATGACGTTTGCAAAATTTCAAAACGATATCTTAAAAACTGAGGGACTAGTTCGTATATATGCAGACAGACGGAAATCGACTCAGCTCAACAACGGATCATTTATATACTATACTTTATAGGGTCTCCGACGCTTCCTTCTGGCTTTTACAAACTTCGTGACAAACTTAATATACCTGTTCAGGTGGAAATATAACATAATAATATATATATGTATATATACATATGTATGTATGTACCATATACATATAGGATGTAGGGATGCACATATGTAAATGGATTAATCGGATTGTGGGTCAATGATGTTCATACAAGGTTATATTTCTATTTGCATGTTGTATCAATGCCCTAGCAGAAGCGAACCCTTATCATCAATGATCTATATATTATACATATCTACATATGTACATAGTATAACAATTCAGGTTCCATTCGAATGTGAAAATGAAATATTTCGTTGACGCAGTTACAATTTGTGTTTATAAAAGAACGTAGGTTGTTCTAAAGCGGCACTGTAACAGAAAATTTTAGATTTGTACTTTTCTATATAATAACAGTCTATTGTGAATAATATGTTTCGTATAAGAAATCGTTTTAGCTACTACGTGAAATTGGATCTGTCGATTCTGATTATATGTTGCTGGATGTTAATTCCAAATATAGGTAAGTTGGCGATCTCTTATCTATACTCATACCTATTGAACTTCTATTATATTTTGCAAACCTGTTTCTTTCATATGCAAAGCGAGTACGGCAGTACTGATATTTTGATTATTGATAATTTTTAAGAATGACATGGACGTTAACATAAAAATATAAATGACAGCGCGTTGCTGTAGTTTATGCATATCGATTACAGTACAAATAATCTTGTTTGCATGACGCATACTTATGTATGGGATTTGCGACGGATTAAGTTTTTTTTTCTATAAAATTGCGTATGTGTCCATAGAACATGGATCATTCTCAACAACTTTTCTTAAGAGACTAAGGGTCCGAAACCAGTTTCGAGCCAGTGAAGAATTAGGCGAAATTAAAAAAAATCGAATAATTGATTGTAGTGGGGGATATGTGCTATAGTTGTCCAATCTGACCGATTCCGACAAATTATCAATAAATTATCAAAATGCACCAACGCATTACATTTCATTCGGATATCTCAAAAATTCTCCACAAAGTTTTTATGATCCCTATAAAACTTGAACCCTTAGTCTCATAGGCAAAGTTATTCAAAATCCCTAGAACATTTCCCTCATACGCTATTTTTCCGATTCTTTGGCTCATTGTAAATTAACCCGCTCTAATGTGCATAAACCAATAATAAATTCAAACATTCTATAAATTCTGTTGTGTTAATGTGTAAAATTTAAATAAAAAATGTTATTAGAGAATGGAACACTTCGGTTAACAGTAACTTTAGAATAATCTTAGTTTGGGTATAAGTATGTATGAAAGATCTCTTCCATTTTAATTGCTGTTTTTATACTCTCGCAACCAGTTGCTACAGAGTATTATAGTTTTGTTCACCTAACGGTTGTACGTAATCAAGATAGTTGAAATCCGGCTGACTGTCTGTCTGTCTGTCCGTCCGTACGTACAAGCTGTAACTTAAGTAAAAAATTTCGAGTTTGTAGATAGGCCTAATCGAACCACTGCCACGCTCACAAATCGCAATTAATAGAAAACGTATAAAGTGCCATAACTAAGCACTAAATTAAGGTATAAAGCTGTAATTTGTCCCCGCAGCAGCAAGGGACAAAATTTTTTTGAAAAAATGGGCGTAGTCCCGCCCTTTAAAAAGTTTAAGTTTAACAAATCAAGAAGCAATTCATATAACGGGGCGAATAATATCTTTGGTCAGTGCCACCTTATGACCAAAAATTTTTTAAATGAAGTAAAAACTGTTGAAGACCCTAGGTACCGACGTTGACTTCTGATCGAAAATGTCGGTGAAAAGTCTGAGATATATAATTGAAATTTAGGGATAGTACTTCTCGGACAATGGTATGTCTGTATGTAAAAAATTAAATGAAATGTTCAAATCCAACCAAAACTGTTTAAGCTCCTGGGTACCGAATATTTGGATCCCAGTACCTATAATTGACTTTTTACCATATATATCCGTTAATTTATAAGATATAGTTAATAACTTAAATTCAAAGGTAATCCTTTCTGGAAATGGCTATAGTTTTATTTGTTATTTTACCAAAAAATACTAAAATAAAGACAATACTTACATTTGCTTATTTTTTTTAGTACATTGTGGTTTGGTGTCTGCTTATGGGAGATTTCACTGTATATATATCTAAACCTTTGCATGTATACACAATCCCCAGAAATATATATATAGCTCAAACTTCTATAACTCGAAGTTCTCCATAACTGGAACTCTTAAATTAGCAATAGAAGTCAAATTGCATATAAATATCCTGGCACAACTCGAAATTTTTTTTATGGATATTTGCGATTCGAGTTAGGAAAGTTCAACTGTAATCTTAAGGGCCATTTTCGCAATGTTTTGTTAGCAGCCATTTGTCAGTCAAGCTCTGTTAAACTAAACCAAAGCTCCTTCTTTCGGTAAAGAAATTTTTTTAACCAGAACTGACAGATGTTGTTAACCTAACTGATAAAAATGCATTGACATTTATTTGTATGAACCTATTCAAAATTAAACCTCAAGTACAATCCCGTAGATTTTTATACAAAAACGTTTTCGCTTTATTTCTAAATGTAATTTTCACTGTATTGAATAGTTTATTATATGAATAATAGCATAAAATGTATACCACAGCAAGCCGGATCCACTAGTTGAAGTCCGAGTCACTGTCTGTCTATCCATCCGTCTGTGCAAACGATAAAAATTAAAATAACTTAATTAACTTTCTAATCTAATCCTGGCAAGTTACAAGAGAAATGTTCGGTTACATCCAAACTTAGGCCGCCGAATTCGAGTTCCAATAACTCCTTGTTAGTTATCGGTTCTACAGGGATTTCCACTTGTAGTTTTCGTAATAGTATACCTAAATTAAATGAAAACATCTTGCTAATAACTACCTAATTGAAGCTTATACACAACAGTTAGAGACAAACATAACCTTTCTAAAAGGATGTATCGCCACCTTCAGCATTGCAGAAATCAGTTAAGGTCGCTTCAATGATTTCAAATTTAATTACAACTTTTTGAGCTAATATATAGCTAACACTAATACGCTTATATACGTATGCGAAACTTAAGTAATTGGACATCTTCTTCGAAATCATTCACTTTCATATAATTTTACCAATCATTAATTTCGTCTTACATTGATGGCATCGCTTGTTTTTTATTAGACTCGTATAGCCCAGACCATTATAACAAACCTCCATCAAACATTCGAAAGTTTAACGCGATTATCGCCTAGGATGAGGTGAGCGTTTCAGCCACTTAATCTCCTAGGTCTAACAGAAGAATTATAAGTACTCATTTACTACTATGAACAAAAAATAGTGAAACTTTGTTCATAATTTTAAAATTTTTAATTTATTCTTTAAAATCTATGTCGTCCCTCTCAAAGTAACCCCCTTTGGCCAAAATACACTTGTGCCAACGTTTTTTCTAATCCTTGAAACAGTTGTTAAAGTCAATTTTCTGAATAGCATTCAATGAGCGTAGTGATTCACGTTTAATGTCTTTAATTGACTTAAAACGGTTTCCTCAGAGCGGCCGTTTTAGTTTGCTAAATAGCCASAAGTCAAACCGAGCTAAATCAGGCGAATACAATGGTAGCGGCACGATATTGATTGAAAATTTCTCGAAAAACTAACGAAAAATCATTGCAGTATGCGACCACCATTATTGTGGTGCAAAAATCAAGAGTTGTTGGGTATCTTTTTGCGTATGGCCTTATGTATACAAACTGATTTTCATATCTGTTTTTTATAAACAATGCGTCGTAACATATTCAAAATGTAGGTTGAGATAATATATGGTATATGAGAGTCCACATATTGTCAAAAAAACGTATACTTGTATTATTATTACAGCCGATATACATTATATATATTTTTTGTTTCATAACAGGTGCTTACACAATCGATGAAAGAAGCTTTCAATACTTAAATAGTATTTCCTCAGAGGATTGGAATCGTGACTTAGACTTTGGAATCGAATCTGTAAACAGACAGAAAAGGTAAAAAATAAAACTAAAGTGAAACTTTGTACATATTAGGCAGTATGTTATCTTTTTACCAACCTAAACAGACTGTAACCGTCAGATGTGCACTAACCAGACATTGTGAAAACGCATTTTGTCTGGCGGTTAAAGCCACAACCGATTATCGATTACTGGTTTTTAGCTGTTGATTTTCTTTTCTGTAAAGTTTTAAAATTTGAACTCAGGTAATTAATTAWTTTTCCATATAGGCTTGAAGGAACTCTGGTGAAGTCAGGAGTAATTGTCGAAAAAGGTGGTATCTCACATACTTATCTTTTGGATGCTTTGCCAAACGAAGAAGCAAAAATGGACAATGACGTTGCTAGTAAGCTTTTAGCTGCTAGTCTTTATATCTTCAATAGTAAATGTCTACCCTATGGAATAAATGGCAAAGATTGCGAAACATTTTTATCAAATAAGTCACTTCCAAAAGGAAGTGAATTGTTACAAAAATGTTTAAGAATCGTTGAAAAACGACGCAATGGCCACAACACATTTCGAAGATTATTGGATCGCCATTATCGGGATGGCATCTTTCAGGTATGTTTTTAATAACTTTTCTAATCACGTGAAAGTAGTATTAATATAACATTTTTTTTTTAGATGTTGCCTCTTGTTTCACCCCTCATGGTGAGTAAATCCTTGAACAACTTGAATGTGAAAAAAAATGTCGAGGACAAGCAGAGAAACCTAGCTGTTATACAGTGGACCCAATTCGTTGAGCATGATCTCAGTAAACCTGTAGTTACAACAATGAGTAAGCACTTTGAAATAGATTTTGGTCATCTTAACCGTATCTACTAAGTTTTTAAGGAGATGGGAGTCACATTGAATGCTGTGATAATAACAGCTTTGAGCTCGTACCCAGATATCGACATCCATTTTGTGCTCCTTTGATAATAAGAAACGATGAATCGCAGTACGCAAAAGTTAACTGTTTCAATTATGTACGAAGTGCTGTTGCTGTCAGCACAAAATGCACATTCGGAGCTGTGGAACAAGTAATTATTTTTACAGATAGTATGTATGTACAAAGTAATGAAATTACTTAATTTCCTTAGTTAAATCAAGCAACATCCCTTTTGGATTTATCTCAACTATACGGTTTCACAGATGAGGCGCAAAAACGCATGCGCACATGGACAAATGGTCAAATTAAATTCGCCGCCAAGACTTCAAATATCTATAATGATGCACTAGCTGTGGTTCCTGGCGACTGGAGTAATTATTGTGCGTTCAAAAATCCGTCCACTCAAACTAGTCAATGTTTCATGGCTGGCGATTCTCGAATAAACAATAGTCCACTCACGATATCTATTTATACACTATTTATGAGAAATCATAACCAGATTGCCCAAAAACTAACGATCAAATATCCGTTATGGCAGGAAGAAGATCTTTTCAGAACGGCAAAAGCAATAAACATACAAATCTATAGGAATGTTGTTTTTGACGAGTGGCTGCCCACTGTGTTGGGCGAGGATGTTGCTGTTAAAATGAGACAACTTTCGTTAAACAAGGAATCTGTGGACGTTGATAAAATTTCAAATGAGTTTGGGATCGCAGCTATGCGGTTTTACATGTCCATGATGCCAAATTTTCTGCAGAATTTTACTGAAGTAAAACGTGTGGAATACAATACATCGGGTTCGCTTTCGCAAGAAAGTGGGTATGTATTATGCTTTTTTTTCAAATTTATGCCCTTCATAATTTAGATAATATTGTACACTGCAGAGTTATCCGCAACGAAAATTTAGTTTCCTTTTTTAATCAAACATATAAGCCTGATTTGGAATATACTCCTGAACAAATTGATACCATACTGGAATCGATTTTGAACCAACATGCCATGAAATTAGATACAATATATGAGGACAGTGTAAGCGCGAAACGTATTGTAATGCAAGAACTTCGCAGTTAATTACTTTTTTTAATATATTCAGCTTATTTTTAATAACTTTGGCGTGAATAGACCCACACATGGTGATCTGCTGGCTTACGATATTCAACGAGGTCGAGATCATGGATTAAGAGGCTATATTGACTATTTGAAGCTTTCAGTTGGACGAAACATCGATAGCTGGAAAGATCTCGAGAGTTTTATAGAAATTGACGTGCGTAATAAAAACTAATGGAAATCATAATCTGGGAAAACAAAAGCATTTATTTGATTTTTCAGATTATTGCATTTGCTTTGTTCAATATCCTAAATTGAAACTGAAATATATACATCATGTACTCATTAATTCACATTTGTTTTTAGGACCTAAATATTTTAAAAGCTACTTATAGTAATGTTGAAAACATTGACCTTCTAGTTGGTGGTATAGCAGAAAAAAAATCACTCGGAGCTGCAGTTGGACCAACGTTTAAATATATTTTGGGTAAGCATCCAACGGTTCTCTAATAACGACGCATATCTCAAATACTAATGAATATTTTGACGTGAGAGTTAGCATAGATGTCACTAACAGTTTTACCAACTTACA